CCTTACGGGTCTCGACATAATACGGAATAAGAACATTTGCGAAAGCCTTCTTGTACAGCCGCTGCTTCTTGAGACTGAAAAGCCACAACTACAATGGTTTGGGTATGTGTAGTGAATGCTTCCAGAAAGGAAGGAGAAACAACTCTTTCTAGCATAACCACCCGGCGGAATACCCGACGACGGCCACGATTAACGTGGTGCAAGTATAGAGAAGGAATCTGCTCCAGACTCCATTTGTCTTCTGCGGAAGTTCAGACCCTGGCACAAGATCGGGCACGTGGGAAACACTGTCTGACGCGTCTGCCTCTGCGACCCGAAAGGAGAAGCTGTCATGGAAGATGAAGATGACGAATATGCAGTTGTTCAACCGTAACGATGATAACTGGCAATCATCACATACTCCTTTGATAATGGGGAACTGGTCAGTCCACAAGGGAGACTACAAGCAATTTCCTGCGCTGGTTTTGTAACAGTCGAATGATGTGTAGTGATAATTATGTTTTCAGGTAGGTTCCAAAGCATATTGTGAGGCTAGCAGAGTGAGAGGACAACTTTAATATCCGAAACAGAAGCATAATCACTTAATTTGGGAGAAATTTATAATCCCTGTCATGATAACTACTTGTAGACATATTGTCCTTAACTTTGCCTGAATGTCTTCGAACTCTATTCGACTATAAACTTAAATGATTAATTTTAAGAAAATATACCTAAAGACGCATGATTACATGAGAGATGAGGGAACGCGCATACCATAAAAAGTAGTCTGTCAGACCTCTTCGTTAAATGAGTTTTATAACAGGTACCGTCACAATGCACTCGTAAAACGTACATATAAAACATTTTAAGCTTCTTAGGCATTTCGGCTTTATACCGAGGAGTAGAATACACCGGGTCATCATACAACTCCATAACTTCGATACCCGTGACTAGCCATCCGTGAATCAACAGGCTGCTCCAGAACAGAGTATGGATGAAATTGCTGCCCGAGAAAACAACAGTTAATAAAAAACAACACCGGGAATTAGAATCGAACCTGAAACCTGCAGGATCTCTCGAGTATCACTGCACCACCGCTAGTTCACTACGATATCAAAATTTTCATTATGCTGACTCATCAAAAATAAAAATTAATTTTAGTTTCACAAAATGCCGTATAAGAATGGTCGATACCTAACGACAAAAATAAACTTACCACCGGTGGCTTTCGCAATACGTTTAAGATCCTTCTTCAAACAGCGCCTAACAAGGGCTGCCCCTGCTTCCTCCACTTGCCGAATGTACACGTTGTCAGCGCCTCCGGTCGTCAGTATAACGTTGACGCCGGTCTTCAAAATTCTGTCGACTCTTCGTTTCATGATGTCGATTTCCCTACAGAAATCAGCAGTACATCAAACAGAATAACACATAAATGTCGAAATCTTTGAATTACTCCTCAAACCACCGCTAAACAATAGTGATAAATGTGGTAAGATAATATGGCAACAGGAAAGGAAACCGCGGATGCCAGTTCAGTACTGTAAGCAAAGATCACTGTAGGAACTCAAATGGAACTAAAGCGAGAATCTTCGCCGTTGTAAATCAACAAAAAATGTGGTTAAACGCCTAACATTATCAGTCTTCGACTACTAAAATTCATAATAGGGTATTCTCTAATAGATATTTCTTGTTGTTAGCGGAAATGTAACTAGAAGACGCATTTTCTTATATAAAAAGGTTTCTCTGCCCAGCAACCAAAGGTTAAGCGGTGTCTTCACAGTATAACGTAGTATAAGAACAAGATTTATGCTTAATATTTTGTATATCTCCGGCTATGCGAGGGTCTGGAAGTAGGGCGGGAGCCGGTTGGGGTAAGTTAAGTCAATGATGCTACCCACCACTCGCAAGCTGTATCGTTCCGTTACCAAAACTCCACCAATATTTCTGAATCATTTGGTCTAGATGAAGGCTGGGGAGACACTGGCAACAGTCCACGAGTGTTGGCATCCAAAACGAACGCCAAATAATTACTCGCAAAAAAAGCTCAAAGATGAACGGAACCCGGAAAATAGGTGCAAGTTACCCTGTCAGAATGAACAATACCAGCGACTTGGTAAACAAGGGAACGTGATTGGTAAATGAAGTCGGAAAGTCATTAACATTTTCGTGTCCAGCCACAATGCAAGAATGCTATCGACAGAACTATTTACGGAGATTTATACCACGGAGACAAATAAAAGGAAGGAGGGCATCACTGGAATATGCGGCAATCCGAAGATCGACTAAAACTAAAAGGAATAAAGGAGAGCAAGAGTTCTCGGAAGAGTATTCGGAAAACGAGCTTTGAACGACGGCGTTGGGCACATGAAAAGGAATGCTGTACCAATTGTATCGAGGTGTGATATTATATTACATCGCATAGCAATTCTACTTCTACAGATGAACAAAAGAGGAACAATAAAAATTATCCAAGCCTACAGCCCAACTCAATAAGCTGAAGCTGAAAGGATCAAGCAATTCTACAAAGAATTGGAAGGCGCAATGAAGAAAACGATGTAGAAGATTTCGGAATGAGACTTCAGTGCAGTAATTGAGAAAAGAATGAACGATTAAGGTGTTTACTGGCAAATACGAGACAGGCGAAAGAAATGAACACAGTGATCGTTTCGCAACTTGCGCGGAAAGCAATCATTTCCATGTCATGAACGCTCTTTCACAGAAAGTTCTAAAACGGCAGCGCAAATGAAGAAGCTCAGACTGAAAATATTTGAATCAAATCGTCTATGTACTCCAAGACTGCTCGGGCTTCAGTATGGATTCTTCGATGTTCAAATATATACGGCCATTTTGTCCTTGACAATTTCTATCCAGTTCTTTCCCGAGCACGGAAATTTGTTTCTTCTACGTACATCCGCCACCTCATCAAAGGTCGCCCGAGTGGTCGTCCCCCCTAGGTACCATTCGAGAATACGCGCGGTCCATCGGTTGTCACTAAGTCGCGCGAGGTGACCAGCCCAAAGGATCTTGCTCTCTCTCATGGCTCAAGTGATGTCTTGTACGCCACTCATTTTGCGGAGAGTTTTGCTGTCGATACGGTCACGAAGAGATATTCTTAGCATCCTTCATTCCATTGCTCTCTCCGTCACAGCCAGCATACTTTCTTTTGCCTTAGTCGGTGCCCACGTTTCGGATCTGAATGTCAATGCTTTCAACACTACGCTGTTAAAGAGACGAACACGGTCTTTCTGGTCTGATACTTGGAGTACATCGATGGTGCCACAGAATTTGAGCCATTTGGCAACCCTCTGACGTATAACATCTAAGAGATCATGGCGCATATCCAATTCTTGGCCCAAGTAGACATAGTTATTGACCTCTTCCAAATCCGCACCGTCTATCTGTAAACTGGCCTTGGGTATGCCAACACTTTGCATCACCTCCGTACATTGCGTTGGTTTTAAGACCCACTTCATTACTTCGTTCCTTGAGCTCTTGCATCTCCTCCATTTCTGGAGCATCTTCTTCGATAAGTACTATATCGTCTGCGAAAAGCAGATGATTCGCTGTTCCCCGTTAATGTTCAGACCGCCCTTCCAGTTCAAATTGCGGAACACCATATCGAGGCAGGCATTAAAGAACACAGCTGACAAAGGATCACCCTGACTCACGCCCTTTTCGATCGATAGAGAAGTGGGTTTGAGAAAAGCGTTATTTCAGTCGGGCATCTTGTATCTGCTTCTTGGATGATTTCGACAAAGTTCTCATCGATTCCGTCTTCAACAAGAGCATTCAGGATAGCGTTGAGTTATTTATACTCTCTAGCGCGCTCTAGCAGTTGGTTAAGAGTGAAACGGTTGTCCGTAGTGCCATATTTACTTCGATTTGGTACTTCTCGCCTGTGATCACGTTAAGAGCACACAAAGTCGAGAACGGACTGGACTAACAGACGAAATTTCTGTCCTCTACGATCCCAACAGAAGAAGGCCGGTCATGTGACGACCTGAAAGACAACCGGTGAACATCAAGAATTACAAACTGGGTTTCGCTCGACCACCAACGTCGAGTGATCGGTAGTCAAATTACTTGGTCAGCGGCAGAGGCAGGAAGAAGAAACAGAAAATGTTGGAGGAGCACTGACTTGCGTTCATAACCCAAACATAACGATAACTAGCCAGATAACAGATCTTGCACATGTATGATGAAAGAAAAGTACTTCTGTACCGCATACATCTGCGTATGACTGGGTTGTTCAACACTTTCTAAACGGTGCTAAAAGTTTCTATACAATCTGAAAGTGAGACATTCGGTTTACATGTCCTCTTGCAGAATGGATCACTTAAATCTCTCACCCTTGTGAAGCCGATTATAATATAAACTTGGATTTCTGTCCAAGGCGAGTGCAACAGTTATTCACGAAAGCTTATAATACTAGATATTACTGTTAAACTAGCTTGCAGTGAGAGATTAGATCAGTTCATTCCTAGCGCATCAGAAGCGCGAAGATGCCCATTGAATGAAAAAAACGAAACAGGTAACTATACCTGTAATTGTACAGGTGACTATTTTCAGGCAAGAAGTGAAATTTAAATAAGTGACGTTGAAGTCAAAGATTTCAAAACATCAACCATCTAGTCTCCACAGGTGTCCGGATGACTAAAACTTGTCGCTACGAAAAAGCATGTTTAGTACTTACTCTCGTCTAATTGCTTCAATTTTCTCCGGATTTTCCAATTCTATATTTATGCCCAGATGCATTTTGACTTTCTGCAAACCGAAGTCCAGACAGCAGATCTTAGGGTTAACGATTCGCTTTGGCATGCCTAAATCTTGCAATCGCCAGCAGTTCAAAAGTTTTACAATCAATTTTAACCTGGAGAAGCGACAGTACAATTCAACGCATATCCGCGAACCAAAAGACTGTCCAGTGTAGAGCCACCATGCGATTTTAGAATATTCACTGCTTCTACAGCATACTTAAAGCCACCTTGTCCATCACTGTATTTCATAGCTTCCACAGCTTCAATTATCATGCCGGCGAAAAAATCTGATTCACTGTAAAAGAAAAGCTTTAAAACAAAATTTAAAATAGCAGCACTCACGGTCCAATCAGTTTGCTTGACATCGTTGTTTTAGCTGCAGCCAGGACACATTCACGACCTAATTCATCTATGTTGATCGAAAGTTTTTCCTGCATATATTTCAATGCCTCTCTGTAAACAGACAATCATATATAAAGTAAAAACTCCTTGAGTTCGTTTTTGTACTTGCACGCAAGTCGATATCCGCTCATTACGGTCGTTGGGTGAATTTTCTGACTAACTAATTCATCCGCAGCTTTAAGCAGTTGTGCCGCAATAATTACCTATGTACAACAGTCAAAGAATTTTCGTATATTACTTTTAACATTTTAAATACCACAGATGTTGTACCATCGCCAACTTCTTCGTCCTGTAGCTGAGCAAGTTCTACTAGAACTTTGGCTGCAGGATGTTCGACTTCCATCATTTTCAGGATCGTCGCCCCGTCATTGGTTATAGTCACGTCCTGAAAAAAACGATGACAACTGCAACACCTTTTATTTTGCACACAGGACAAATCAGCAGATCTAACATTAGCAACAAACTGAAATTCACACTTTACATAAAATGAACATTTAGGGTAATATCTTGTTAAAGGAAACTAGGCTACCACCTGACCGGAAAACATTAAAGATTTCAAAGTTTCAGGCACCAGTCGCGCTAATGTCGGTTTTTAAAATAATCAGTGAATCTAATCCTGGAAGGTTACGAAAACAAACACTGAGAGAGCAGCGCAGTTACATGCCATAAAGTATCCTTAACAATGTTTTCTTCACTAAAAATTCTCACGGAGGTGATTATAAATATCATAAACTATATTTCAAGTTTCATTCTTTGACGGAAGAACTTCCTCAGAAATCTTAGTCCAACCTTTAATGCGCACTTTCAGTAAACAACCTACATGATAAGTTTTTCCAACCATTTTCAGCAGAATGTCTCCCCGACCAAACGTTATCGACTCGGGCAAAATCAGACTAAAAGATCCATGATTTCGATTCTCAACAAAGAAAGTGCTACCATTGTTTCCATGTAGGCAAATTTATATATCCACTGAACTTATTTAGAAATTGTCCATTCCTTCGTTTGTTGTCAGCACTTTATGCGTTTTTACATCTAGAACTGCAAGCGCCCTATATTCCCTCGGAGGCCATTAGGTAAACTAGCAAAATAAACTTCAATTTAAGGCATGTAACCGCTGCTTGATAAGATAGTAACATTCTGAAGTAAAATATTAACTTCTAGACAATAAAAGCAGTAAATAAAATAAACGTAAGCAACTGACAAGAGTTTGTTTCACTCGGTCTCACTAATCATTTTCTCAAAGAAAACCCGCCTTACTGACTCCCAATTTTCACAGATAACACAGCTTTGCACGCCAGAAGTATCTGTTCAGGTTTAAGCGCGTGCATTTTTAGTATTCGCTGCTACTTCCCTTGATAAAAGAACTTCACCCCACCTTTCTTTGATGCAGTAGCATTCGTCTGTGATTATGCTAGAGCCTGCATGACTTACGTCATGCTTTGCCCAGCGTGCGTGCTTTATGGCTGCAAATCACCTCGCCTCCTTGAAGTTTAAGTAACTCAGCACATGACTAATAAAAATGATACAATTTTTAAAGAACAGGCTCACTTGTTAAAAACGAAGATAACTACCCAGGATTGCAATTTTCTGAGCTTTCCTAAAGCTTCATGGAACTTGGCATACCCGAGCTGACCAGAGAATAATGTGGTGACTAAAGGCTTTTTGCATTTCAGGTCGAATGTCGTCCTTTCCAGTAGCTCTGCCACTCTTCGGTGATTCAAGTACAGCTTTCAACTCAGTCATCGTGGCACTACCTTCCGTCTCAAAATGCCGTTTGGAGCTATTATAAGGCTCTGCAAAGACTGGATTTAGGAGATCATCCCTTAAGTATTCTTATTATCGATAGAGGATATTCCATAACTTGCTTGTAGATTAGGTTTCCTCCGAACTTTCCCAAGCTCAGGCAATACCCGACTTATACCACTGTAGACGGCAAAGACGCGGAGGATTTGATAGTAAGCAAGGCCAAACAAACATTCCCCTTCGCTCAAATTACGTCTTGGACTTATGGTTCTTTGCACAATTGTTTTTTGTTGCCAATGGCGACACCACCAAGCCGCTTCATTCCATAGCAAAATGACGCCGAAACAGTTATTACTGCTGTACATAGTGCCACCCCATGTCTGTGTTTGATGATTGATTGTGTACCCTGTACCTTGATTGTGCACCTTTCTGACATGCCATCTACAACCGTTTCTCACATGTTCATCATTAAAAGTTCCCACTTTATTCGCTAGGCAAACAGTATGGGCTACCATGCATCTTGATAGGCGCAGGTTGCAGACAGAGAAGTAATGATCAGGCAACAACTCGGCCCTCTGTTTCACCCAAACACCCAGGACCATGAAAAATAGGTCACGTAAAACTATTAAAACTTATCGACTTCTTCCTTGATGAATGCGTAGTACGACTCTAGATTGAAAGCATACCTGACAAGTACCAGCGCCAACTTTCTACGAATGACTTTCAGCGTACAAGTTCATTTACAGAGGGCAGGCTAAAAAAGGAATTAAAGGAACTGCAGTAACTACCGAGACACTTCTCTGTTCATCCTAGTCGTTAAAATCTATGCAAAGTGCTTGGAAAGAAAACGCCGAGAAATGGTAGAAGAAAGCTTCAAGGCGATAATGGTAGCTTCAGTCGGGGCCGCAGTACCATGGGCCAGATTTTACAACCCGTCAGGTCTGTGAAAAAAATGCTGAGAATATGCAGAGGAACTTTATGCCTGCTTTACAGACCTAGAAAAGGTTACGATACAGAGTACTTCGGTCGATGCTATAGAGGATATAACAGGAATATGGAGTGGATGGGCAACTAATGCAAGTCATCAAATTTTTATACGGTTGCTTAGAAAACTTTGTACGGATTAATGGTAGAATGACGAGGCCTATCAAGCAGTGTGTTCATTCCCATCAAGACTATGTTTCTTCTTTCCTGTTCATAATTTTCATAGGCTGCACCAGCAATCGTCGTAGAACAGCACAGTCAGAGAGGTTCGACTGAGCCATATGTTGTTGCCTGCTGATGCCGCCATGTCCTTTTCGTCCCATAATGACCATCAGCGTGCCCTTGATCGCGTCACTACTAAATGCACCGAGGCTTTTGTATGATATTCCAGCTGCCAATAAAACTAAACAAGTTCGTACACTCGTTACATATTCAGATTTTATCAATCAATATGCGCAACGACTCAACTGATTAAAAGCCCAGTGCCTATCCGTTTCCTGAGAATACCAGTGACAATTAGTCGGGCTAAAAGAGTGTACCACACAAAAGTTTTGGGTTCGTAGATTTATTGGAAGCTTCACCAACCCGAAAGAATGAAAGAAATGAACTTGCCATATACGATCCAACAACGACTGTTACAAAATCTATATCAATAAAACCAAAAGACTACAAAAAAGCTGAAGAACATCTAACAGCTTTGAAAAATGAGAAGGCAAAGCATTCGGTATAATTTTCTACAGTCTAGTTTTTTATCTGGGAAACTTGTTTCGACCGACGAACGCCATGTGTCTGGCGTTGAAGGGGCGCAAAAAATATCAGGCCAGTAATTAAAGAATCACTGCACTCCTTCGCTAAAGACCAATTGTATAACAGATGAACGAACTCATTTAGCCACAAGGCCACTGGTCGACTTGTTCGTAAGGTCCAACGCAAGTGAATGGCTTTACTCAAATGTTAACGATTTTGCATAACATCCTTGTTTCATTTTATATTGTTACCTTGATGATGACGTTGGCGTGCAGCGTCGAAATGCGCCCATAAATAAAAGATTTTACATCGTCTCTGTATCTCGATGCCTTCAGTCTGTAATCAGGAACAAAGTGATATAGATGCAAAGATAACGCACAGCATAACGTAGAGCGCTAATTCGATCATGCATCCTTAAGAAGGATAATTCTGTTGCTTACTCGCTTTCAATCATAAAATATGACCAACTACTAGGAGAGAAAATTTCACTACCTTGGACCTAAGAGCTGATTACAAAACCAGAAGTCATTATAGCATTAAACAGCATCGGAAATTTCGAAACCTGTTTAAGCCTAACAATGTTCAGCCGAAATGCTGCCATTTTAATATTACAAATAAACGTCGTTAAAAGTCACGGATGCAAATCTAAGTACCATACCCCAACATCATCCACCAGCATTTTGTCAAGTCCAACAGGGCCCAGCGAAGATTTTACAATGTTTGCAATGGCAGCGGCAGCAGTCACTAAAATCAT